TATATATATAAAAAAAAGAGAGATATATATATATATATATATATATATATATATATATATATATATATCCCTTTCTTTCTCTCTCTCTCTCTCTCTCTCTCTCTTTCTTTCTCTCTCTCTCACTCTCTTTCTCTCTTTCTTTCTATATAGTGAGAGAGAGAGAAAGAAAGGGATATATATATATATCTGCCACTCTTTTTTTATATTCTATATATATATATATATATATAGAAAGAAAGAGAGAAAGAGAGTGAGAGAGAGAAAGAAAGAAAGAGAGAGAGAGAGAGAAAGAAAGGGAGAGAGAGAAAGAGAGAGAGAGAGTGAGAGAGAGAAAGAAAGAAAGAGAGAGAGAAAGAAAGGGAGAGAGAGAAAGAGAGAGAGAGTGAGAGAGAGAAAGAAAGAAAGAGAGAGGGAGAGAAAGAAAGGGAGTGAGAAAGAGAGAGAGAGAGAGAGAGAGAGAGAGTGAGAGAGAGAGAAAGGTCGGCGCTGATAGGTTTCGGTCTAATCCGCGGCGTGACCATCGACGAGGAAGTCTGCAGAAGAAAGTAAATTCGTAATTGTTCGGTGTCGCTGTTGCGACGAACTCGTCGCTGCCGCGAATGGCTGTGCCTTTTCTTGCAACGGTGCTCGTTGCACGCGAACAGTTTCCCTTTCTCTCCCTCTCCCTCTCTGCTCTCTCACTCTCTCTTCCTCTCTCCGGCTGTTCGGCATAGTGCACCCGGAACGCGCATCTTGGGAAATAAGAAAGTTTCGGGGGATTAGACGGACCGGTAGGCGATGTAACGACAGTTCCGGGGACACTGACTTCGATCCCGAACTCCACGGCGAGTCATTACACTCGCGACGAGCCCGGCCGGGGCTCTCGTTCATACAGCCGGGCCCGATGCGTCCGCCGCGAAAACACGGAAACCAGAGGCTGGCTGGCTGGCTGTGCGTTCGATGCGCCGCGACGTACGCGATCAAAGGGGGAAAATGATTAGCCGTCCGAGCTTTCGCGTTCGACGCTTTCGGATCGAATGGCCCGATATACTGTTGCGTGTCGGCGCCCCGCGGTCCGTGCACGGGGCCGTTCGTGTTTCCGCTCGATCGCGAACCCGAGATTTTAATTAAAAATTTCGGGACACGATACACCGATCCGCCGCGAATTCGCCGAAAACGTTTTCGCGAATGCACCCCGGTCAACGGAAGTTCCTCTTTGTCGCGCGCGCGCGCGCGCCGACTTTACCGGCTGCTCGATTGTTCCCCCCGGTTCAATGTACTCGATTGAAAAGCAGAACCCGTTGAAAGGAAGCTAGTGGATCAAGACCGCGATGCGCGGACCATGCTCGTCCGATTGTGCTTCTTCGAATATCCTGCCCGCGATTTTATAACAATTGAGCCGTTTATTTTGAAAGTGGCTTAACGTCACTTTAGCGGAATGAAAAGCGGTGATCTTTTAATGTTTATACGAAATCATTTATACCGAGAAAAATATTAGTATCCTGAGATAATAAATACAAGTAAATCTTCTCGAAAGTTGGCGTCTATATTTTTAAACGTGTTAAAACGCAAACTCTTAAATATATCGACTCGAAAATAAAGTAACTTATGCCACTTTCAAAGTAAACGGCTCAATTACCGTGAATTCTGCCGAATTTTCCGTCGGATTGCGAACAAAAATGGATTATTTGGAGAGCATTGCACCTTATTTTTATAATTGTCGACGATCGGGAATTATAGAAAGGAGCCGTGAGGCGCGTATAATCGAGCTCTTCTTTCCAAATTGTCCATTTTTGCAAGCTGAAATTCGGAAGATTTTACTGTAGTTTGCGCATGTTTTTAAACCGACTGCTTCGAGCGCGACGCCTCTTCCTTTTTCTTTTTCTATCTTCGACGCTGTATTTGCCGGATACCTGTTAATAGGCTTTTTAATTACCGAGCTGTGTCTAAGAGCAGCTCGGTAATTAAAAATTACTTTTAAGTATCTATTTCCGGGGGCGTTTTTACATTGTATCAATCCAAATAATTTGATCGATAGAAATATCGTTGTTTCGAACAATATTTTCAGGAATTCTGTTGATCTTCTGAATTTATCCCTTTTGTTAATACTAATATGTTATATTGCTTGCATACAATACATAATAATAACAATAATAATAATAATAATAATAATAATAATAGCATTGATCTTATTAGACCCAACAGAAATGTGTAGCGATTCGATCTAATTACTGCAAAAGTATCGTTCGAGCGAAACGTTTCTAACTCTGTAAACAACAAATCTGCGAATCAAAGAATCAAACTTCTTCCATTCTGATCGCGATTTCTTCAGGTGCGCACACAATTGCCCATCGTACGCTTACAACGAACCAAATTCTTAATCTCGTTCGAATAAAAATAATTTACTCGTTGTTCGCGAACAACGAACAAACATTTCAATCCTATTTGAGCCGTTTATTTTGAAAGTGGCATAAGTCACTTTACCGTAATGGAAAGTGATGATTTTTTCATGTTTATACGAAATTATTTATACCGAGAAAAATATCAGTATCCTGAGATAACAAATACAAGTGAATCTTCTCGAAAGTTAGCATCCATATTTTTAAACGTGTTAAAACGCAAACCCTTAAATATATCGACTTAAAAACAAACTGACTTATGCCACTTTCAAAATAAACGGCTCATTCCTTATTCGTCGTTCGAATGAATTTCGCCAAATTCTTGCCGCAACACAGAGCGCGCAACCCGCCGTATTAAGGGTCCGTAAGACCCGGAGGTAATTTCCCGAATTCGCGGTCCCGCTCTACGCGACTCTCCTCGCAGTAATTTTTCATCGTCGCCGGAACAGGCAGCGGCGCGGCCGTCGACAGCGTCGATGCATCGTTTCTGCGTTGCGGAAAAGTGCATCGACGTAGCGGGGGCCCACGGTGAAAGCAAGAGAACCCTGGCCCCCCGTGTCCCCTTGACGTGCAGAGGGCCGCGGGGAGGGCCCGGGGGAGGGCCTCTCACTTTCGCTCTCCGGAGAAAGTCTGGCCGTCGTTGCCGCCTGCTCGCGAACCGCTGGAACGCTGTGAACGTTGTCCCCGACAACAGCCTAACCACCTTCTAGCTGGCTAACCCTCCTGTTCGCCGGTCCCCTCGCCCCGAAGCCCCGCTACAGCTCGTTCCTAGGCCGCCCCTGACTTCGCAAAAGCGCTTACATTGCACTCGCCAAGGCGAGCACGACTCCTAGCTTCGCTGCTGTGAGCACGACAGAGAGAGCGAGAGAGAGAGAGAGAGAGAGAGAGAGAGAGAGAGAGGTAGATAGACTGTGTGAGTGTATGTATAAAAGAGAGAGAGAGAGAGAGAGAGAGAGGGAGAGGGAGAGAGTAGGAACGAGGAGAGAAAGAGCCGCGGGAGCAACAGAGAGAAGTTCGTTCTTCTCTCCGGGCCTCCCTCCTCTCGCCACTTGTGCACTTCTTCTACGGTGTGCTCTCGAGCTGACGGGGGTTAATGCACTCCTAGAGCAAGCCATAACCTTAGCCGGGGCCCCGGAGAAGCGCGGGAATCTCGGCTCGGCTCGGCTCGTCGCCGAGCAAGGCGAGCGCTGCTGCGCGCACTGCACTCTCCGGCTGTGTTTATGGAATCGCCTGTGATCGATAATTAAGTCGACCAATGATACGACCACGTTTTATGCCACCGGCAGCTTGCCGCGTCCCTTGGGAATCTAGCTGGTTCTGGATTATAGCGCGGGGACTGTGTCGCACTGGGTCTTATTCCCGACTTTCGCGACGACGGTGTTGCAGTGGGACCCCCTACGACGATATGCGTACCCAAAAGCGTAAAAAGAACTGCAACCGAATTGTTCTGTTTTAATTAATTTGGAACAGGAGCGTCGTATTTTTTTTTCATTTTATTACTAAGGGATAATGTACTTTATTATTGTTAAGTAACAGTCTAGCCCGCGTTATACGGGATCCCACTGACGAGATCTTGGCTAATTTTATTTAGGATGAAAATTGAAAGTAAGTACTTGAAAAACGTTTATTTCGCAGTGTTATTTTCGGTGCTGTTATTTAAAAATAAAAATGGTATCGATTCGTTTGGAATGGAGCG